TCGAGAGCTCCTCCCCACTTTGGCACCAAGAGGTGCTCGCGGAAGCGACCAACAGCACGTCCCTGACAGGCGTAAAACCCACTCGCGGTTGCGGTTGCACCAACAACGTACAGCTGCTCCTTTGCTCCAGCCGGCAGATTACCATTGAACGCCTTACACGCAGCCACAATGCCATTCGTTATGGCGGGATGTGCCTTTGTGGCATACACGTCGATGGCACCAAGGCTGGTTTGCTCCTTCACCACACGCTGCACCTCCTGCAGATCCTTAGACTTCTGCATCTGTTCTTTGACCTTGTAGTACAGGCATGTATTGTCCATACCAATGACATGGCGCGTGACGGCGAGGGCTGCGAGCGGCATGTCAGGAAACGGTGAGCCGCAGGTACCGACACGAATCATTTTTACGGACGATGGATCAAACACCTTGACGCCTGGCGGTACATCCGCATCGCCCACACGTGGGCGCCACGCACAGCGCTCAAAGTCATACTCCTTCAGCAGATGGATCTCGTTGATGACAATCTCCACGTTGTCAGTTCCCATCCCCGTACTCAAGACGGAGACGGGCGTGCCCTTGTACGTTCCGGTGGCAATAAATATTTCACGGTTCTCGCTGCGGAACCGTACACTGCCCGCATCAAAGAACGCCGCCACGGTATCCACGCGGCCGGGGTCGCCAACCAAAAGGATGCGATCTGCCAGCTGATCAGATTTGCAGTTCAGATGGTACGTGACCCCATCGGGGGTGACAGGGAGATCCGGGTCCTTCATCAGACCGTGCGTGTGCGTCGCCTTAGACATGAGGGTTGTACAACAAATTTACACTTACTTTCTACAACGACAGACGAACAAACAACAAAAAAGACGCGGCAAATGCACCAAAACAAGGAGCATGTGAGAACGAAGGCGCGTCACACACACAAAAAAAAAAAAAAAAAAAAAAAAAGAAAAAGAAAAAAAGAAAGACGCGCATTTTCCGTATGAACACACAACATGAAAAGAGGAAGAAAAGGGAAAGAGAAGACATGTCCACTCCTGTTCGTCGATAGCACAACTCACACACACACACACACAGAATTAAGTCAACTGTTTATATAATTAAGCAACAACAACAACAACAAAGAAGATGCAGGTTGAAATAGCAAAAGCAGAGTCCGAGCAATGTCTAATGTGCGGCATTGACACAGACTCATGTATCTATTCGAGTGTTTATTAGTTTCAGTTAAATTCATGTCTACTGGCAGTAGGGCACAATCCATCATTAATACATAATATATACATATATACATGCATACACAAATATAATTATATATAAATTTGAATGTCGTGAAAAAGAGAAAAAAACAGAAAAAAAACAGAAAAAAAAAAAGAAAAACGAATGGGACTGGGTTTTTGGTCCCCTTTTCAGAAGGGTACATGATGCAACAAAAGATGGGGAGAACACTAAGAAAGAAAAAAAAACTCAAGAAGGAAATTGCCCCCCCACCCACCCGTTTTCCATTTCCGGCTTCTTTTGTTTAAACATTTTCTCAGCATCCACACAAAAAATTTTTCTCTAAAGGACTCAACAACAACAACAACAAAAACAAAGAAGACACAACAGAAGGGGGAGGAAAGAAACAAACAAAATGACGTCCACATCGAAACAAAAGAAAAAAGAAAAGCAAAAACAAATGAAAAAAAAAAAAAGTATCGTGCAACCAATCCCCCAACACACACACACACACACACACACACACACACACCAGCACCAGCGGCAGCGGTAGCAACGTAAAGGGTAAAACAACAACAACAACAACAAAAAACCGGCCATCATTCGCTGTGATTTTGGCGGTGGTGGCTCTTATCGGCCCACAGCTTCGCGTATTCATACGAAGTGGACGCCAATACGCCGTCTATAAGACACGTTCCGATGTTAAGAGCGAGTCCAACGTAAAATCCCCGCATACCTTGGGTCCGGTAAACATCACGCACTACACCCCACAGTCGGGCTTTTGGCTTCACTTGCAAGTTTGCTCGTACGACCAAGTACGGATTAAATAAGACTGCCGTGCTAGCGCTTGTAACAAGCGATGACACGGAGTTCAGTACAATGTTATCGTCCTTCGCCAGCAACCAGTGTTTCCATGAGGAGAACGATGATGCGGATAAGTTCAAGTTGTCTTGATTATCCACCTCTAAAAATCCATCGGCAGCCTCGTACAACCAGCCTTTGGTGTATCCATACATGGCCCACCACACCGCTGTCCACTGACACCCAACCAACAACGTTGTGCCGTAGCCTGCAAAAACAGTGCGCATTCCGTTCTCACGGTACATTAACACAATTGTACGGAAAATACCACTTGTCTTATATGTGCCGCCAACCATCATCTTATTTGCCGTCATCTGCCGCAATGCGACAATACTAAGTGGAAGATGTATCAATCGACAGACGGCGTCGGATACGTATCCCGACACCGCATCCCGTGTTGCTTCAGACTTCATAGGAAGTCGTTCTCGACTGTATTCAAAGAGCCAAAGATAAAGCGCCTCGCTGAGGGCACAGCCTAATGTTAGAGCAAACATTCCTTGCATCAGGCCACGCATCCCTCCTTCGGCGCCGTACACATGTCGCACAATTTGCATTGTCGTCATAGATCCAGCGATGGGGCATGTTTGTTGACGAGCCAAGGCAAGATTAAGAGGTTGCTGTAGTGCTGTCCGTATCCAACAGAAAACTGCAGCGTATAGGAGAAACTGCAAGCTATTCAAGTCCGAGTAACTCCTGTTAACGCTATTCGTGTGCTCGTGTGGTCCAATCTCCGTGGCGTGTAGAGTCACTGCATGAAGTGAAGTGTTGGAAACGTTGTAATTCTCTATGGGAACCTCATTTTGCGTAATAAGACCAGGACCGTACATCGCCAATCTTATCAACAGAGGGAAAACAAAATAAACAACAACAACAACAAATTACCTTTTCTAACAAAACTAAAAAAAAAAGAGAAAAAAAAAAAAAAAAAAAACACTACAAAGAGCAAACAGACAAAAAATGCCTGCTACTCACAAGAATTACTGATATCTACTAAAGTTTCTTTCTTTCCTTCTATATATAATATATTATATTTTCTATTCCTGTTTAATTTCCTTGTGTTGTATTTCCCCCACACCAACCCCCTTTTCCTCTGGCAGAGTCACTGGATTTACCTACGCGAGTTGCACACGGCTAAAAGAAGAAGAAAACGATATAAGAGAAGGTGGGAAGATTAACATTACATGTGCCATGCAATCAACTCCCTTCTGCTTACAAGCATATACACGTATACGTCCTATATATATATATATATATATATACGGCATCGGATTTAATTAAATGTATGTAGGTACTGACTCTCATTCCTTTCCTTCTTTGTAACCTTGCAAGCGGAGATGATCATCAAATTTCCCTCCTTCCTTCTTCATTTATTTTACACGTTAATACTTTGTGTGTGCAGTTTTTTTTTTCTTTTCTTTTTCTCTTTTTGTCACAGTCGCGTTCGCCATTTCTGATCCCGGCAGCTGCTCCCCACCACCACCACCACCACCACCACCTTCTTTTTGTGCCTCACTCACTTGTAGAGGTCCCCAAACGGCGCCTCTTCTTGGCAGTGGCAACTGTCCTCTTTTTTTTGTTTCCTGCTTGAGATGCCGCCGGGGCGGAGGATGGGGAGGCAACTGCGGTGCCATCGCCCCTAACAGACTTTTTCATTCTTCTCTGCCCAGTCGCAGTGGCGGCGGCTGTCCCTGAAGACAACAAAGATGACGACACAACTGTTAATTCCACGTTATTTTTTTTATCTGTGGCGTTCTTATCGTTTCTATGGGCCTTCCTCGCCCTTTTCTTTTTCCGGATGATCAGATGGCTAGGAATTTTCTTCAGTTGCTCTTCAAACCCGTGGTACGCGTAGTCAATACCAAGGCGCTTCAAGTGCTCATTGTTCGCCTTCTCCACGTTGGTGTATTTAATGAGTGCTGCAATGGGGTTCTTCTTGCGTATATCATGATGGTGGAGAGGTGCACCTCGTGTCTTGTACGCGTACGCAAGCTGTCGTCGCTGGGCAATCTTCTCCTTTGACGGCATCGCACGGTGTAAAGTGACGACATTCGCTTGAACAGCACGGCCGCCAAGTGACATGCCGTGACATTCCTCCACCACCGTCGGGAGCACTGCTGGGGAATCAAACTGGACGTACGCAATACCCTTCGATTGATGTGTTCTTCGGCTCCGTACACAGAAGCAGTTCAGCACCTTTGCGCCAAACTGCGAGAGGAACTTGAAGAGCTGTGGCTCCTGAAACTCCGGCGGAAGAAAACGAAGACGCAGCGCCTCGTAAGACAACCGCGTCCCTTCACGCTTTGACTTCTCAAATGGATTTTCCCACTCCTCCTCCTGACTTGCCTCACTTTCGTTCTCGCTGTCGGCAAGCTCGCTTAAATTCTCCTCGTTGTCACTATCAGGATCCACAGACTGCACATCCGACTCCTCTTCCTCGTCGTCATGGACATCATGAGCAGCGGTGTCGTCGTCGTCGTCTTCATCCCCCTCCCCGTCTTCCTCCTCACGGGGACGTTTTCTGGCTTCGATGATGCCGCCCACGATGGCACGCTTCGCTGCCGCAGCGGAATTCTTTGTGTTTTTCACGGCTTTGGATTCACCGGATGATTTCTTCTTCGTGACGTCTGCTGCTTCAAAACTTACACGACGATGCGGCGTTTTACCCGCCGTGCGCACAGTAACCGTCTCGACAGCCGTCCTCGCCGCATTCGCTGCAGCCTCCGAGAAGGCCTTCCTCGTCGAGTTCTTGCTTTTAATTCCCATCGACAAACCGGCGGGGCGCTCAGTTCTCCGTCAGACTCAAAAAACAAACAAACAAACAAAAAAGAAACGTCATGACATCAAGTGGGAAGAAACAGAAATAAAAAGGGACTTCACAACAATGTTAAGTGGGAGTTAAGTGAATGGGGGGAGAAGACCAACTGAAGCAACAACGACAAAAAAAAAACATTTATGCATGACTTTCAGTTTTTACTGCAACTTCGGCCTCTAAAAGTTTTGTTCTGTCTTTTTTTTTTTTTCCGTTATTTCTCCTCGTCGCCATTGATTACATCTATCGGTAAAACCGAGACAATTCAACATCTGACACCACGGTAAAGAGGGGGAAGGGTGGGGGGGCGTGGGAAAAAAAAAAAAAAAAAGGAAGAGCGAAAAGGCACGAAGAGCCAGCAGTATTCGTGTATTCGGGTTTTCGCGCTTTTCATTTGGCTACGCTTTACTCACTCCTGCCTTAATTACGAGAGGGCGCAGCGGGGACACGGTTCAGCTGCTGCTGCTGCTGTTTTTGCTGTTCCTTTGGTGTCATTGCGCCAAATGAATTGTGGTACCACTCCATCGCCAGCAGCATCCGCTCGGAAGAGGTGACTGGACTTGAGACTAAAGGCCTCGGCGGCGGTGCGCCGTCGTTTTTGAGTTCCGTGTGCCACCGCAAAACGATCTGCTGCGCCATTCCCGCCATTTGTGCAATGGCGTTTGTAGCATTGTCGGTAAGAGCCCCCTTTTGCGTGCAGAGCATCTCCGCCGCGGCGGACAAAACGGCTATGTCACGGTACATCTGTCGCATGACGGCATTCCACCGCTTCGTCGCGGCCGTCTCGTTGAGAGATGCGGGCCTCTTTGGGAACCCGCAACCGCTCCTGCTGGCGACAATGAGTTTGTACATCCACGTCACGCGTTGTGCAACATCCACCGGCACCATACGCTCCCGCAGCATCAAGTTCGCCTTCGTCATGATCTGCCGCGATGTCATCGCCATTCCATCGGGGCTGTTAGCCCCCCGATGGCCCATGGGAAAAGAGGCGGCCGTTTCACGCGTCGGAGTTGATTTTGGGCCGCCCGATTCCAGTGGAAACACCGTCAGAATCGCCTCAGCTAGCGCCAATGGATAACAGTCAATTAATGATCCGTCAACAAGCAATGGACCAAGCAGTGGGCAGCTTACGCCCCCTGACGACATCTGCCCATTATATTCTCCCCCGGCACTCACTCTTCCGTCCGCAGACGATGGTGGTTTGATAAATCTTGCCACAAGCTCAGGTGGGGCAGTTTGAAAGACGGAAAAAATGGCTACTGCCAATTTCTCCGGGTTAAATAATCGTCGCATATCCTCCACATCAGGAATGTCATGAAGACACAATGCCAGTTGTTCCGCGATGTATGTCCTTACTTTCAACCGCCCTGGTGTCACCAATACATCATAGAGATTTTGCATAATAGCCGATAGATAAGGTCCCGCATATGCGCTCACCTCCTCGTCATACACCTCTCTAACTTCTGTTTCACGTTTCTCTTCTCCAAAAGGATTGCAAAGACGTTTCATGGCTGTTCGCATCCACGCCGCACAGACACACTTAAACAGCGGTGAAGCAAGTTTCATGCATGCACTTAGAAACGGCAAAATATCCATAAACAAAGATACAGTAGAGCAACCTGCAAATGCAAGTGCCTCTGCAAGATAAACCCCCACAAGTCGCACCGTTGAAGATTCATGAGTGAGGGCAGACACACAATTGTGCCCAATAATTTCAAAGGCAGCTAATAGAAGTGGATCATGAGCCGTTGTTGTTGTTGTCGTTGTCGTCGTGGCCGTGCTACAAGAATATCGTTTGTTTCGCAACGAACCGCAACGCTCATTACGTGATAATCGTAAAAGAACCGCACGCAGAAAAAGATAATAACTGCGTTTTGCCTCGAAGGTGTTGGACACTGTAATAAAATTGTCGGTTGCTAGGAGCATGTCCGGTAGCAGTCGGGCGGCGGCCTTTCGATCGGAGGGTAAGGCGGCACAAAGCAGTGAGGCGTATTCATCGGCAGTGACGCGGTCAAGTGCACGCATTGCCTCCGCGGAATGGGGCAAAATGTCATCGTAATACATCGACACAGCAAGAAATTTATCAACATCGGAAATACTTGAGAGCAGAGATGCGAGAAACACAAACCGCTTAGACCCTGAATTTCCTCGCGGGGATGCCATTTTCTTCCACAATTTCGGTGTGGTGGAACCATTATCCACCTGCAGTTGATGTCGCTGTTGATTAATTGTTTCTTCTGGAAGTGGTCGTTGCAGGAAGAGGGCGGCGATGTCGGCCATAAAGCCACCGTGACGTAAGATGCGATCTGCCAAATCACTGACACTCCCAAGCAAAGTACTCCACAGGCGACAATGCAGCAATGCCCCCAAGTTGTTCTCTTCAAATAGGAAGTAATTCGTAAAGGCGGTGGGTTCATCGCGTACACATATCCACCCCTGTCCAGCCGCCTGCTTCCGTACAATTGACTCGATGGTCTCCAACGCCGTAGCATCACACGTGCCAGACTGCATTTCATCAGATTGTTGTTGTTGTTGTTGTTGTTGTTTTTGCTGCTGCCGCTGCTGCCGTTTCTTTTCGTCCCGTGTTGCGTTTTGCCCACTGCCTTGGGGTACGGCACGGACCACTGTCTGTTGCACTTCCGCGGGGCGCAACGACACAAAAAACTCCATCTTTTGTTCCCCACGCTGCTTTTTCTTTTCACCGTCGCTGTCGCTGCCGCCTTTTTCTTCCTTCTCCTCCTCTGCGTCATCGGCATTCTTGTCATCGCTCATTTGTTCGCCGGCGATGGCATGGATGACATAATTCTTCGCCACTGGGACGGAAGAGATGCTCTCGGACTTCGCCAGCGCCATCAAATTCGATGACCGAAGCTCCCTCACACGTGACGTTGTCCTTTTAGGTGTGTCCGCGGATGGGGTGACAAAATCCACGCTGATTTTTCTTGATGGCGCAGGCGGCACAGATTGCGGCAGGAACGTTCGTGGTTGTGACACCTCCGCTGCCGTCAGTGGTGCCGCCTCGACAATCATCCGCCCGGTGAGGTGTTCGTACAGCTGCCGAAGGAAGGAATTGGCGTACTCCTCGCGGCATGCAATCATCCCATTGATCATGCGCTCACTCAGTGGGCAGTTGTTCAGCGCAAACTGTTTTTGCAGCAGCTCCCAATTGCTGCGCTTCTGAGCGGCGCTCATCCTGTCCTCGTAGGAGTGCATACTGACGCTGCTCCAGTAACGAGAGCAGATAGCTGCCACAAGAAAGCCATTGGAGAAGTCTCGCTTTGGGTGTCGCACAACACGGGGGAGTTGCAGAGTTCGTAGCCACACCAACACCTCACGCGGTAACCCCTCACGCTGTATTGATGACTCCAAATCCATCGATGACTTCAATCCTCCTCTTCCCCCTTTTCTTCTTTTCCCTCACGCGCACAAACCCCTCGTTCTTTTTTTTTCTTTTTTTTCTGTGCGTGTGTTCTTACGGGGCTCCCTTGACGGTTGTGTGTATGTCGAATGTGTAGCGGCCGCACCGACAATAAAAAAAAGGAATAAAAGACATGTTGCAAATAAACACGGATTCGATCCTTCCTCCTCAGCGTCAAAGTGAGAACAAAGGCGGGTAGCATTCATTATGACAGTAACAGCTATAAACACCTCCCCCCACACACGCCTGCAATGTGGAGAAAAACAGCATGAACAACTAAAACGATGCGTCCTTCCGGCTACTGCCCAAACAAGATATACCGCACGGTTTCCCAGCAACGCTTTGGCGCCCGTGCGAGCCGCTCCCGATGATACCTCCATATGAGAAGTGGAAGGGAATGTCGTCGCCGAGTCCATGACGCAGTCTGTTGTTGCATCCTCCGCATTTCCTCAAAGTGTTCAACAGTAAAGCCGTGCGATCCCTCTGATGACTTCAGCTCCGACTTCAAACGCTCCGCACGGGCAAATTCCTCACGTTCCATCGCCCGAATTCGCTTCAAAAAATCAAAAAGCGAGGTCGCATGCTCGTGCAACTGGCGTTCCTGTTCCTGTCGCGATGACTTTGTGCGACCGCGTTGCCAAGGAAGCGTCCATCCTGATGTGCTCAGTGCTACGCCAGGGGCAACAAATGACGCCGCCTCCATATGCATGTCGTCTTGGCCATTACGACTACTCCTGCCATTATGACCGTTGTGTTGAGTTGAACTCAATGCGACCCTTCGGTGTCGTCCGTCATCCAACAGCCGTTGCAGGGTTTTGTACGCCTCCGTCACGCTTGCCATGCGGTCTGCTGACGCCCCTGGGCCGCCCTGATCCGGGTGATGCTTCTGGACCAGCTCAACGTAGCGCCTCTTCAGCATCCGCTTCTCTACAGGCGGTGCAGCAAACCCCATGATCCGGCACGCCTGGCTGATGCCAAGAGACATCAGACAACGGGAGCTGGTGAGCATCTATTCCCTCTCACAATAACCCTACAATTTCCACGCGGTGCCCGACCCGACCGTCCAAACCAAACCAAAAAAAAAAAAAAAAGGGGAAAAGAAAAAAAAAAAAAACGTTGTTGGGACCTTTTTTTTCTTTCCAAACGATCTTTTTTTTTTTTTTCTTATGCGTTTGTCAATTTGTGTCCACCCATGTATTCTCTCAATTGCATCATCTTGTTGTTTATCCGTCTCTCTCTCTCTCTCTTTGGCTCTTCTTCCTTCCTTCGTCGCTTGAGACAGCAGTCAAGACACACGCATATATACATATGTGTGTGTGGATACAAAAAATACAAATGTATACTTGGAGGGAGGAGTAAAGTCTTACATGACCGCAAAGAGAACATCCACACCAAGCAATTGATACATCCGCCATATGACGCCATCGGCACGGCTTATCCACGCAAATGCCTCTTCATTGCCCGCCGCCCCTTCTCCAGCACTTTTCTCACGTGGCGTGGCGTCCAATTCCAGTAGCAGCTCTATAAATCGCTGAAGCAAATGCCCCGCACGCGCGGGTTCTCCGCAAAGAATATGCACGATGCCCACTTTCTTTCTTCGTCGTTGTTCCTCTGGCTGTTCGTCCCATCCGACGGAATGAGCACTTCCCTTGCGTGCCCGTTCCTCCTCGTCCTCAAGCATACGCACCGCCTGGTAGTAATTCAGCAAGTAGTTAAAGCTCGCAACATCGGCAGTGGCAATAAAGTCAAAGTAGCGCGCCCCAGAGCGTGCGAGGAAGACCTCCGACTGAACAAACCCACAGCTGAAGCATGGGTATGGGATAATGCGATCCTTCACTTCGGCAACAGGCCCACTCCACTCCGTGTCCACGGCTAAACTCGCACGAAAGTTTTCGTCCCCACGAAGAAGTGCCTCCGCAGCGAGCAGAATCTTATCATCCGTGCTTCTGCCTGAGGACGGCTCCGCTGCCGCTAATTGCACCATTCGTGTTGCGTTGAGACTTGACGGAAGCGCATCCCGTTGCCGCTTGGCATCAGTCGTGCTTGCGCTGAGCAACAAGTGGTTGCGCAACTGCCCACAACGAAGTGTGAGGTGAGCAAACAAAGTCGCGGCGGTGACTGTGCTCGTCGGATCACCCCCGTCTACAATGTGCATGTGGTAACGAAAGTCCCTCATTGCTGGCAAAGGATCCTGCAGCAAGCCTGCTTCCTTCCTTCCGTCAGTCAGTCAGCCGTGCAGCGGGGAAGGTGGTCGCCAGGACGTGATGAAACGACCCGGAGAAAAAAAAAAGCAAAAAAAAACAACAATGGAGGGGAGGGAGTGAAAAAGAAAACACTAAACAAAACTATTAATTTAAAAATTGGTTATTCCTTGCTGAGCTCACAGAAAAAAAAAAAAAAAGGAATATGTCATACGCCTGCGTAGGCACCCGCAACTTCAACCCTACCCCACCGACACATAAACACACACAAAGAAAAAAAAAGTGAAAGCCTTCTTCATTGCAAGAAAAATTAAAGGATACACAAACAGAGATGTTCACGCCATCAGTGGAGATAAACACAAGTACACACTATTGGCCAGAGGTGTTTGCAGGTCGCGACGGCCCAGATTGACGTGAAGGCAGCGACACAACGAGCGGAACGAACTGTCCACTGCCAACACCGGGAGAGAGCAACGACGGGTTCCTTGAGCGGGCCGTTGCTGAAGGCACAACCTCATCATGATCACCATCATCATCTTTTTGTTGTTGTTGTTTTTCTTCTTGTTTCCGCTGAAGGTTTCCCACATGAAGATGTGACTGTTCCAGACGTACTTCCTCTTGTTGACGCTGTAAGCCTTTTGGTGTAATCGTTACTTCCGCCGCATTACTGTGGGGCTGCACCGGAGTCATTGTCGTTCCATGTTGATTTTCCTGTTTCGATAATTGAGACATCTTCTTATGCCTCAATGATGCAACCTTTGAATCAGGCGATTTGTTCAATTGAACATGTAGTGGAGCAGGGCTCTTGTCATTCTTGGAGTTGCTTGATTTTGGATGCAACACCTCCACGAGGTTTCGTTGCGGGGATGATAATGACGCGGATGATGAAACGAGAGTAGTAGTAGCAGCAGTAGCAGGAGGAGGAGTCTCTTTTATTGTACCAGGCATCTCTTCATCGCGCAACAAAGCCGTTTTTGCCGCCTCCAACTTTTCATTCATGATTTGAAGTGATCGCTGCACCGCTGCCTTCTCTTTCTGTGCCTCTAATAACTCCGCGTGGAGTGTTGCAAGTTCCTCACGCATGGCAGCTTCTATACCCCGCTGCGTTCCAAGTTCCTTGGCACATTCCTTGCAGGCCTCTTCCTCTGTCGTTATCTGGCCCAAAACCTCCTGTTCACTGCAACGAAGAGATACAAATGTTTTCTGTTCCGCCTCATGTTGTTGTTTTTGCCGCAGGAACGCTTCCTTGGATTTTTGTAAGGCGGATTGCGCCACACGGAGCTCGTCGCTTTGCCATTTTCTTCGAGTTGTCGCATCTTCTTCTTCCTCCTTCGCCACGCGGAGAAGACGCTGAAGTTGCAGAACCTCCTCCTCCACGCTCTTTTGTCGCTCCTTTTCGCGCTGTAGTTCGTCCTGGAGGAGTGTTGTTTGCCGTGCCGCGTCCTCCGCCGACCGCTTCGCTTCTTCCGTCCTCTTCACGGCATCATTCCTCAGGGACGCCTCTCGCTCCAGGCACTGCTTCAGTTCATACAAACGGGCTTTATGTTTCTGCAACTCCGCCGCCACTTCCGTTTCTTCTCGTTGCCTTTCCTCATGCTGTGCTCTTAGAGAGACAACTTTTTCCTGCAACACCTCGACGGCGTCATGGAGAGCAGCCCCGTCTTCCTCAAGTGACATCTTTTCACGTTGCAGCGTCCCAATCAATTCTTGCGCCTGCTCCAACATATCCTCCTGTTGTTTCAACTGCCCTTCCGCCTCCTCAAGGAGGTTGAAAAGCTGCACGTCCTTCTCATCCGATAGTTTGATGATAGATGCAAGTGACGTCTCCGTCTCCATTCCCGCCCTTGCAAGTACGTCGATAACAACACCAATTGCCTCCTGCAATGGCAGTTTATCCAAACATTCCAGTGCGGGGTAGTTCTTTTCCTCCGGTAGCATCACTTGACTCGTGAGGGGGATAATGGAGGCCTCCATGGCGACAGCATGTTCACTGGATTGGGGCAAGGGTCTCCTAAGGCCTATTTTTTTATCTTCTTCTTGCTGAAGCATCGGCAGCTCCTGCACGAGATTCAGAAAATGGTGAAGGGATGGCACCAGCCGTAGTTTCCAGTCATGAATCGCCTGGCGGAGCACACACCAGAGGCGATCGTCCCAATTTGGCACGTCACTTGCACAGGTTGCCAATGAGGCCACTGCAACGCCGCCAAACTTTTCATCTTGCAGACTCTTCAGCAGGGCCTTCTGGAGAGACCAGAGTTCTTCCAGCTGTTCTTTGCGACTCAATTTCTGTTCGTGCCCATTTTTCTGTCGCGGTGTTGAGGCCGTTGTTGCTGAACCACACGTGGACTCCCTCACAGCATTTTTTCCAAAGGAAAGTCTGGTGACATGGCGGAGCGGCTCTTTCTGCAACTCGACCTGCTCAAGCATACTCTGCAATTCCTGCATGTGCTGCCAAAACACCTTATCATTGTGGACATCGAGTTCGCTCAGTTCCTGTAGAGTCTGTTTGGCCACCTCAACCCGTCGCTGGAGTTGCGACGCCTCCACTGCATCTTGCCTAAAAATGGAGGCCCGCGGATGAGACTCAATGCGCTTTGACGCCACACCGTCGTGGCCCACGTGGCGCTCCAGCGGCTGTTGCACTCGGTTTTCTTTTGCCATCGATTTCTCATGCCTGTGCGGTGAGACGACTCCGTCCCGGTCGCACGCTGAGGACGCCTCGGACATGGCCGAATGACGGGCTCCGATGGCGTTCAAATGTTGCACCGCGTCGCTATCGTGTGACATCTCACGCTGCATCCGTTCCCGCTGCTTCTGCAGGCGCCTGTTCACAAGAACTTGTCGTCCCCACGCAATCAGCGCAGATGCCTCATCCATTTCTTGTTTTGTTGCCTCCATCGCTGAGAGTTCCCTCCTCTTCGTGCCGCCTCTTATTCCGCTGTTCCCCCGCTAACGTGGATGCAAACTGAATGCACGACGACGCGTCCGTCTGTCGGGTTCTGCCGATGATGCCGTGAGGGCCACCAAACAAAAACAACAACAACAACAGAAACAGTGAATGAGAAGAAGATGGAGAGGAAGAGACGACATGCGCATCGGAGGCAACAGTCAACGCACGAGTGGGGCAGCGGGTGGGAGGAGAGAGAAAAAAAAAAAAGGAGATAAAAATAAAGGAAAACGTAAGGGCAAAAAAAAAAAGAAAAACAACAACAACAAAACGGCATCATTTGCACCGGAGCGTCTGAACAACGGCGCTCCCGCCGTACAACAACAACAACAACAAATGAGTGAGTGAGTGAGTGAGCAACAGGGATCCGCAGCGGGAGGAAAAGAGAGAGTTGGGGTGAAAGGAAAAGAAGAACAACAAAAAGAAGAAAACAACAACCGACCGACCAACAAAAAACAAAACAAAACAAAACAAAAAAGCGGGAAAGCGGGAGGGTCATTCCTCCCGGTTTATTGCAAACGCGACAACACATTAATTTTTGCGCGAGGCAAAAATACTTCTTTTTTTTTCTTTTTTTTTTTCTTCAAAAAACACAAATGTTTTTTTTCCCTCCCTTTTTTTTTTTTTCTTTTTCCTTCTGTTTGGTTGCATTTCGACCTTCTGATTTCCCCGGTTACGCACAGGCAACTTTTATTTTTATTCCTCTCTCTCTCTCCCTCTCCCTCCCTCTTTCCTTTTCTTTTCATTTTTTTCTTTCGTATGCCTGCCTGCCTTTCTCTGTCTCTGTGTGTGCGTGGGAGGGGAAGGAAGAAGAATAAAAACTAATACATCCATACAAACATATACAAATATTTATATATTTTACCGCATTTCTTATAATTTAATGCATCTAATAAAAAATTTTTTTTTTTTCTTTTCTTTTAGGTGGGGGGATCGTTTCATTTCTTTTTTTTTTTTCTTCTTTTTTTTCCCTTTTTTATTATTAATTAATTAATTAATTATTGTTCAGTGTTGCCGCCTGTTTATTCTTCTCCTTTTATTTATTTGTTCATTGACATTTAAGACGTTTCTCTCCATTTCTCCCACTCACTCCTCCCCTCCTGTCTTTTTCTCGCTCGCTCGCTTCCCTCGAGGCACAACCACGGCCTTTATTTATATGTATATAAATACACCGACGACACACAAGACACGACGGCACGTCCATGCAATCATTCATTCATCCCCAAAGTCTTTCTGGCTGCCTGCCTGCCTGCCCGCATGTTGCTTTTCGTTCTTTTTTTTTTTTGTGTGTTTGTGTGTGCTGGAGGAGAGCTGACGGTGTGCTCTCCCCTTTCCAACCACACCCTCAAAGACATGCCCGCAAAAGAACAAGAAGAAAATGCCATAAATTCCAAAACACACGCAGACACACACACACGCAGACAGACAGACTGGCACATGTACAGACATTGCAGACGACACATTCAAACAAACATACAAAAGAAAAAAAAATATTCATAATATAAGATATATATATATATATGTATGTATGAGACATGTAAATAAATTTATTTTCTCTTCTCTTCCATCTGTCGGTCTGTTTGTTTGATTCAATACCGTCCCTTTTCTCTGTCTCTCTCTCTCTCTCTCTGGCTGCAAGACACATGCGCCAATTGTCCTCCTCCTTCCTTCATTCCTTCCACGGCCCTCAGTGCGTGGCTGACCGTCAAATTCCCTCCACCCACCCCATCGGTGGGGGGAAAAAAGTAGTATTGGCGGCACCATAAATAACGCGTAGCCATCACGTGACATCAAAGAAGAAGAAGAAAACAAACAAACAAAAAACATCAAATTTCTCTCCCAGTTTTTAATCATTGCTAATAAAAAAATTTATATAAGCCAGGTCCACACACACACACACACACAGAGAGAGAGAGAGAGAGAGAGAGAGAGACAAAAACACACAGACGCACAAACACAGCAAAAACAAAAAGGGTCTAAGGGAAAAAAAGACAACAATAAGGTAAAGGATATATGTATATATATTCCATAAGAGACAGAGTGTGTTTGTTTATATATAAACACGCAGTAGAATCCGGCTTACCCATATCCACTTTCCTTCTCCCTCTTTTCATAAGTTATATACATACATACATACATGTACATATACATATACATATATAATTTTTAAATACACATATGGCACCGTTTATGTTTACTCGCCATGCCACACGTGCAACCGTATATTTCCTCACCACACCCGCTCTGCACACCCATGCACAACCCGTTTTTTCCAAAAAGAAAACAACAACAACAACAACAACACAAAATACTTTAGCTCCATGCGTGTGCGTGTTATGTGCTTTTGTGTGTGTGTGTGTGTTTTTTCTTGTGTTTCATTGTTATTTTTCCTCCGCAGAAGGGGCACACAACGACACATAAATCATTTCACTCATCCATTCTCCTCACTTTCTTTCATTCCTTTTTTTTTTTTTCCCCTCCTTTTTTTTCTTTCCTCTTCTCTTCTCTTCTTTTTTTTTTGTGTGTGTTTTTTTCTTGTTGTTTTCCCCGTTTATATAAATATAAATATAAATAAAAATAAAAATATTTATTATATGTGTATTTTCTGGGCCTACTTGAGCTTGTCAAGCATGGCTGCATCTTTCTTACCGGCAGCACCGTAATTTTTGGTAAGAAGCGTCTTAAATTTGTCAAGTTGATCCCTCGCTGCGTTTAACGACCGAAGTGCCTTCACAAAAAGTAAAAAACTGTTCTCTGGGGTACGATCGAGGGCCTGCCATGTGACATACACTTCCTCCAGAAGCAGGTGCAACTGCTTCGTGTTCACCAATTTCTTTACCGACTCTTTATACTCCCGGCAGAGGGCTTCCACGTCAAAGCGGACAAACGTAAAGATGGCAGATATCATTGAGAAAGCCAAATGAGGGGCTTTTCCAAGGGAATTGATGCACATGAAAACCCCTTTGGAGTCCTCCTGTTCACACAAGTGGTAAAAATAGTCCACATCGGAGTCACAATCACGAAGCTGCCTAAATACGTCCTCGGTATCATCCATGCTGTAACCGGAGAGCAGCGGAGGCGTGTAGCGCAAAAGGGCTGGAAGGACGCGAAAACGAGACCTCGCATCCGTCTCTACCGACCCTGGAGACTCACTTTGTATCTTATGTACATCCCGCACCATGTTAACTAATGTCTCACGGCTGGCCCCATTGTCAACAAGAATGTTAAGAAATTCCGTGTGCAACGATGGTGGAAACACATCCCGACCGCCCTTTACAACAATCGCCCAGTTACAAAAGTACCTTGGAACATCCGTGAACAGGTCCTCCTTGACCGCATCACGTAAATGAATGAACAACGCCTTCCGCACATCTTCCACAGGAAGCACACGCTTATTTGCCAACTCTTCAAAGAGTTCACCAAGCCTGGCACGCTGCTGAACACATCGTGTTGTTGTCATGTAACGATGAATCACCGAGGTGCAATACACAATCCGTGTTTCATCGGGAATGTCCGCCAGCAGCGTAATCACCTCCTCTGCATTACTTGTAACAAAAAATTTATCCATCGCTTCCCAGAAACCATCTCGTGATGGAATCGGATTCATTGGGGGCGCTAGTACTAATTTGTTCCGAGGTGGCAGCTGTGACACTGGCCGCCGCTCAGTTTCATGTTCCTGTGAGGAGGAAGTCGCCTTGGCACCAAATGGCGGCTCCCAATTGTTATCTATCGTTTCTACGGTGTTAAGTAGCAGAAACTGCATCCTTCGTTGGGGGTGCATGTGCATTAATTCCTCGAGCACAGCACGAAATTTGGGTACAAATTCCTGACCCTCTTTTGAAAAGCTTTTCCCACATGTCAAGAGAAGATTCATAAAATGAATTAATTCATAATCTGCAGGAAAACGGCGCTTTCTTTCTGTACCATAGAGAAGCCACTCAAGTACATGCAATACTACCTTCTCACGGACAAGACCGTGAGTAAAAAGAAGACCAAGAAAGTTGATATTTGCCTTTTGCTTTCCCGCAAAGATAAGACGACGCTGCTCCGCCTCTTCTTCAGGTAAATTTGCTATTTCTCGCTCAAGTTGCGCCTGTGCCTCCTCTGCATTTTCAAATGTACGTTGACACTGCCGAATAATTGCATTTCGAATAAATCGTCCCGCTGGTTCACCCTCACCGATATCATTAATAAGAGACACCACCAGTTTCACGTAGTAGGGTACAAAAATACTGTCCTCTGGCTGAATAGACTTATTGAAGATGACTTGAATGACATCTTGAATCTCCTTGTCTGTAGACTGGCGGATGGGAAGGTTGGTAAGTTCCTCCTTCATCTTCGGCAGGTTTCCCTCGCCAACCCTTCCCAGGATACCGAGCACTTCGTTGTGTAACTTGCGCTCCTTCATCACTTTAGATGGCATGGACTCTCCCCTAAACAGTTCCTCACGGGAAAGAATGTGCTCAGGCCTACTGTCCTTGTTCTCGGGCATCTCTTTCCATAACTCCGTGACAAAATCCAGAATGCCCTTTGGCGGGGACTCCTTTGTATGCTGACACTTCACAAACTCCGCTATATCGTAGATGCAGTTGGCTGGGTGACTGGCTGCCGGAGGTTCTGTCGGTTGCGGGGCTGCCCGGTCAAAGAAGTTTGTCGAGGGAGACACCGATGGCTGCAACGGCGGTGGTCGCTCGCCGCCGGGGCGCAGTGGACAGACACGGAACGCCCCCGCAGTCCGGCTTTCCACACGCGGAAATGACTGCTGGGAGTGTGAGAGCGGTGCCGACCCTATACGGGGCGGTACATTAGACATGGTTTGGTGGTCCATGGCTGCACGCAGTTACCAACACACACACGCCGTCCCTTGGATTCCACAACCGAGTTAAATGCCGGTGCTATCCGCTTCTTCAATGCAGTGTCTGTTTTTTTTTTTTTTTTTTTTGCCGCTGCGGTTAATTTGATACCCGCCTCTTAATTTAATTTAATTTATTTGTTGTTTTTTATTTGTTTTATTCCTCTTCTTCTTTCGTCGCCTTATCCCCCACCTTCCCCTTCTTCCTTTGCTGCCGTTGTAACGGTCACCGAAAATAGCAATGGGCACTGGTGCCTCTCGACCAAAAAATTTTTTTTTTTCCTGTTTTTCCTTTCTTTTTGTTGTTGTTGTTGTTTGGCCCCCCTTCCCCTTTTTCCCCTATTTTTATTTATTTATTTATTTTTTAATGTATTTTTTTTTCTGCCCTTTTCCCTCTTTTTGTTCACCCTTCGCCGTTCCTCCCTCCCTCCCTCCTTCCCTCCTTCCTTCCTTCTTTTCTTTCTTTTTTCTTTTGTTTGTTTGCCGTGGACGCTCCTCCCCGCCCCCTCACCCTCACCGCCTGTGATGTACGCACCCACAGAGAGAGAGAGAGAGAGAGATGTATACACACCCGCGGTGGAACCTATATGTATGTATGTATCCCTGTGTGTATGTATCCCTGTGGATGATCCTTCTTGTTTTCTTTACAGAACCAACTGGGCTAAAGAAAGGCACAGACACAACCAAAACAAAACAAACAAACAAACAAAAAAACACAAGAGCTTTGAAATAAAATATAAAAGTAGAAACAAAAACAACAAGAAAAAGAAGAAGAAAACAAAAAAAAGGGGAAAAAAAAAGAAAAAAAAAAAGGAATAGAGCTCAAATGTAATGAGAAAAAGAGGCAAAAAGAAAAAGAGGCAAAAAAAAACCCATGAACGGTATTAAACATGCGGATAGGGGGGAAATTGGGAATAATCGCCCCAAACAAAACAAAACAAATAATAATAATAATAATAATAAATCAAAAGCACATGTACAAATATACAGAAAATTGTACTGGGAAATATTGCTCATACGATTTAGATAAACTTTACATCCATCCATCCATAAGAAAATCACAAGAAGAAGGAGAAGGAGGAAGAGGAGGACGCGCACATCAGAAGACGACAACCACGCAAAGCCACAAAAGCAATGTTAAACTGAACAGCCCTTCCCCCACAGACTCACATAAAGAGAGAAAAAAAAACAATGTTTTTCTTTTTTCCCTTCATCGGGTTTGGCTTTTCTTCCTTTTTTATTTTCCTTATCGTCTTATTGTCCACTCGCTTCAAAGCCTAACGGAAAAAAAATTCAAGCAGGAGACTGAACATGGGCAATCGCTACTGCCGGAGAAGGAACATAAGGACGGATACAAAGCTGTCAAATGACACGGGCTCCTCGGTGTGAAGGTTCACATAATTGCGAAAGTACTCACGGTGGTCGTCCATCCACAGCAACTGAATGGAGGGGCTACGGTCGTACAGAGCAAGAACCTCATCCTGCGTGAGTTGACAATTTTCACAGTGATGCTTCAAGGCTACGTAAAGCGCACGAAGACGAACTGGCTTCGTTAGCAAGAGGGATACGTCCTCCGCCTCAATTACGGGCAGCAGCCCGCGTACTTCGTGCGTATAAGCTTCCGTAGAAAAATATCGTGGTAATGGCGAATGCTGCTCCAACAAACCTTGACGGGATGTCGCTACATCCCCCTTACTTCGTGGTGAGAGTTGTTGTCCCTGCATCAAAGCTGGTGCCAGATTTGCCCGCATCAACTGTTCCTCTGAGGATAACGGCGAGATGTGCGGGAGAGACTGCGCCTCCAACGTCGCTTTGAACGGTTGTGCCGGGGCAAACAAATTGTTTGTCGCATTCTCTAATGCATGTTCGCGTAGCAATAAATCCAACTCCCGCGCCCGAAGTAATTTCGCATGCAGTGTCAAATCCATCCGCTCCTGCGCAAGTTGCTGCTCCAGCTGTTCTGCTTTCTGCTTCCACAAATGGCTGTCGACCGGAGGACCACGCCTCCCCGTGCCGTCATCTTCTTCCTTTTCGTTTGCCCGACCGTAAAGGGGCCGTCCGGTGTAGTACGAGACATGAGCCTGTGGGTTGGTTTTCCCCACACGAAAAACCGCTTCCAGGGCCACTGCGCCGCGGGGCGAGGGCCGGTAAGGGGCACTCACCAGCTCGCAGTACGGACGCACAATCGCAGGAACACCACTGACTTGCTCATTATTCTCGACGCCACCAGCCTCTGGCATTGCGGTGTGGGCACGAATGTCTGCGGCAGAGTAGCGGGTTGCAAAACCAAAGACGGCGGAGATGCAATGACTCGCTTCGGCCAAATTAGAGGCGGCGGAAACGGCGTTGCGAATCAAATCCGTCCCAAGGCGTGCGCGGAGACTATGCGGTGCGGCACGGCGTGCGTCTATGGGATTTTCCGGACCGACAATCTCCAACAGCTTCTCCACCGCGTTGTGACGGGAGAGTTCAACCGCCAAGCACGTCCCGCCGAATGCGAGATGTCGCACGTGCTCGTTAAGAAGGTCCTGGTAGGACATGGCCTCAATCATCGTATTCTTCAACACCGCCCCGGTCGCCAAACGACGTTCGGGCTTTTGTTCTTGCTGCATTCGGTTCTCATCCTGACGTCCGTCGCCCTCGCTCACACCGCGCCCGTCCACCGCTCGGTTATTGGGGGCAACGTTTGGTAGTCCAGCGTTGACACCCTCGCCCCCATCGGCGCAGCGGCTTGTTAAACGGAGAATTTCTGCTAATATACCCTGATGCGTCTCGTCTCGGCTGCAGTGACGCTTGGGAACGCTCCCGCTGCGCCCACGGCTGCTGATATTATTCGGGTTGCTGACTTCTTCACCCCCGGCATTGCCACTAAATGCAGAAGCAAAGGAGGTCGGGAGAAGACTGGCACGCCCCGTGTCCATGATGTCCCTCCGCTTACCTTGCGGTGCATTCTGCTCGTTCTGTAAAGCAGTTTTACCACCATTGAAAAGTTTGTCCACACCACGTTCTGCGTACATGCGCTTCCGTACACTCTGAAACGTACTTGCAATCTCCTCAGCCAAGGCAGGGGTGATGATAAAAGATTTTGCCATCACTTGAAATCCGGCATCTGACACGGTCTGCAAGATGTAGCGGTGGTGCTGTTCCGCATCCGGCTTACAGAGCAGAAATGTGTGTTCCGCAACAAGTGTGGTGTGGGGCTTTGTGGCACCAATGAACATCTTCCAAGACTTCCCCTCCGCCCTTCCCACCTCACTCCCGCCTAAGTTTCCTCCTGGAGTTCCCTCCCCTTCCTCCCCAAGGCGTGGAGGCACACACACAAACACACACGAAAAAAAGAAAAAAAAAAAAGCGGGGGAAAAAGAAAATAGCAACAACAAAAACAACAACAAAACCCAAAGCAGACATGTCCCTCCCCATCTCCCCACCTCCCACAAACACTCCACCTTTCCTACAAGGAAGCAGGGGACGAAACATTGCCAAGACACGATGACCATCAATGCCGCATCATAATAGAGGGGAGGTAGAAAGCTAAAGAAAAACAAAAACAAAAACAAGAAAAAAGTTAGGGGAAAGTTCAACATTTTTATCCAGAATAGATAGAAACAACAACAAAGTGTTACAAGCGATCGCAAAAACAAAAACACACACTCACACACACAAAAGAAAAAAAAAAAAAAAAAGAAAAAGGAAAAAAAAAAGGGTATGTATTGTCTTCACTCCTGCACCACCACCACCTCTCCTTTCATTCCTTTTCTCTTCTTCTTATTAATTTTTTTTAGCCTCATCTACAGAGACAGCGCACACCTATATATATATATATATTCCGCTTTTTTCTTCTTCTTCTTCAACTAATCTTTGCCATCTTCTATAAATAAATATATATATATTTAATCTTTTTGATTTCTCTCTGCCCACTCCCTCTTTTCATTTGCTTCACTACGGCAGCTGCGTCATGCCACCGGACCGCCCTCTAATGCCGTCAAGGATTCCCTTGTCAATAAAATTTACAATGCGCTGCTGCGTGGAGGCGTAATTAAACCCCATCGAAATGCACGCCATAATTTGTGCCAAAAGTTCCGCTGTGTGCGAGCCGCACTGTGTGTTTGACAGAGCCCTTTTCGTGTTGCAGAGGTCCACCACCACGTCGTTGGTGCCCATTGAGATGGCGGTGAGGATGAGGGCAAGGATCGAGATGGCTTCATGGGCGTAGTACAGTAGCAGCTGTGGCTGCTTGCGGTGCACCATCGCCGAGAGAAACGTGGCCACGGCAAGGAGAATAAAGGAGATAATGCAAGCCGCATAGCGCGCCAGAACCCCACCCCCTTCTTTTGCAATCGACACGGACCACGTCACAATAAAAATCAGCATCGCCACACAGTTAAAGATAATAAAGAAGAGATTAATTCTACTCAGCAGGACGGCCTTCAAATTGGCCTGATGAATTTGTTGAATTACCGTCTGCATCTTTTTTCGTCACAATTTCTCGTGTGTTTTTCCTTCCTTCCTTCCTTCCTTTCTCTCTCTCTCTCCCCTTTCCTCCCCCTTATTGCTAGGATTTATATATATATATATTTCCTTTATGTCACTCAACAAACAGCACGTGTAACGGAGTGAATGAGGCAGACGGTGCTGCTTCGTGTATGCGTGTGTTTATGTCGCCACTTCGCTTCCGCAGCTTCAAAGAATTCCTCCTCCCCAATCCTCCCCCACTACGATGCCAATGCCAATGTGTACACAAAACCTACTTGATATCCAAAAGTTGGACCGCGACCTCGCTGTCACGCCTTTCTTTTAAAAAATAGAAGACATCGGCGCCAGTGAGAAAGTCAAAAAGAGGAAAAAAAAAAAAAAAAAAAAAAAAAAGACAAACGCATCACATATTGACAGAATCATCCGTCTTTCCTTAAGAATTATTTATTTATTTTTATTATTCGTTTCTCAGCAGAGACACGTACATGCATGTACGCACATACTGGGATATTTGTGGAAAGAGAGTGACATAAGGCACATGTCTTAAATGTCCCCTTCCCCGCCACCCACCAAAAACAAAAACAAAAACAAAATTCAAATCAAATCTGTTGTTGCATGTAAACGGCAATTAAATGACAAGTAAAAAAAAAAACAAAAAACGCACACACACAGAGAGAGAGAGAAAAAAAAATTAATAATAATAAAAAAACAACAAAACATAAAACACACAAAGAGATTAAGGCGTACATGCAAGAAGTCGCCTTATTCCTGCCCTTTTGTGCAGCTCAAAAGCTCGCCGCAGCTCCGCATATTGCTCGGCACTGATATTATGCGATCCAAAGCGCGGCGGTACGTGACGCACGTGTTCTCCAATGTACAACTCCGGTGGTGGTGGTGCCTCACATTCTTCAAGCGCATAGCCCGTGCGAAAAGACTTCATCAGCTGCAGTTGTTGATGAAATGGAAGCCTGTGATATGTCATAAGCACGTCACATCGTAGTAATTGAGGAATATCGTTCAAAGGACCCAAAATGTAACCTGAAAGTGCCTCCAAAATGTCATTAAGCGCCTGACATGACAGCCGCTCTCCAAACGCGTCAAGCACAGGAGTAAGAATAAAGAGTGGGTAGCGCCGTTGCCAGAGGCAGATGTTGTAAAGTCTTCGATAAGGCGTTGTAGGAGACGCCGAAAACTGAGATCGGGATGGAGGAGGTGCTTTCGCCTGAACCGTGCTGATCCACCCCCGCACAACGCCTCGCAACACGTGGAGGGTAGAGGCGCAGCGAGTCAGGACTGGAAGTGGCCACTCCAGAAGACGGCTCAACAGCACCTCAACTTCCCTGTCATGATCGCTGGTGGATTGTCGTCGTCTTTCTTCCGCCACAACAATCAACTGATGGAGCGCCAAACAAGTAAGAGCGGCGGGGTGAAGAGCAATGCAACGCAGCGCCCAGAGAGAGGGCCGCATTTCATGGGAAGAATGAAACGAGATTCGCTCTGCCATTTGCCGGTCGCTCCTTCTGCAACCAGGACGCATGTAGACAAACACAAGCAAAAGAAAAAGGGGGGATTGGGAGGGGGACAAGAGGCACAGACACAAACAGACAATAACACACAGCAGACTTCCTCGGCCGCTCACCAAACTGACGGTCCATTTAATCCAGACGGATCACAAATGCCGCTGCGGAGAGACCAAACTGATAGCGACACGGCACGTACGGTGGTGTTGGACAGTCATCGTTGCTCTCATCTCCACCGTCATCCTCATCCTCCTCGTCGACGGGTAATTCGTCCCCGCCCTCCAAATGCAAACATCCTTCCAAATTCTCCTGCAGGGACCGTCGGTTGCCGTTTTCCCCGCCCATTTCCACCTCATCTCTCTGCGTGAGAAAGGGGTTATTGAGCCGCATTTCGTTCCGGTGTCCCTTTTTTTTTTTTTTCTTTTGCGAGAATCCCCGCGCTAAAAAACCAAAAAATAAAATCAAATAGAAGGAAGAAAAAAAGGAAGAAAGAAAAAAAAAAAAA